TCCTGCTGGTGGGCTTCGCGGTGCGGTTCGGGACGGGCTGCTTTGGCTTTGCTTGCGCTTTTCGTTCCTTCCCCTGAGAGGCCGCAGAGGAGGGCATGGCGGCCGCAGAGGGCACGGCGCGGGAAGGGGGCGGCCCGGAAAGGAAAGCGTTACCTCAGGAAAAGTAAAGCAGGCCCCCTGCCCCCGGCGGGGCTCGGTCGGGTGAATGAGGTACCAAAAGCAGCAAACTCTGCCTGTGGCGCAGCCTACGTTTTTAACCTTCTTTTTAAATAATAAAAAAAAATGGTTTTTAGCGGTAAATCAATTATGTTTTTAGGAGTGTTTAGACCGATGATGTTCCTTTAAGCCAGGGCCGTGTCTGAAGTCCGGCTTTTTCCATATCCATGTTCTTTGACATTCAAAAGAGAAAAAACCTCACTATGATTAATAGAGATTTTTTGCCATTTTATTAAGAGTTTGCCCATTACTTTGATTTGATTACTTTCACTTAATTACCCTAATTAGCCATCAAGATATAATTTAGCATTGCCATCACATTAGGCCACAGGTGATATTGCCAAGAAAGACTTGAGGGCATGAAAAGAAACAGTTCTGAAATAGAAATCACATTAAAAGGAGCTGGGTTGATCAAATGCATGTGCTTCTTTGCCCCTCCACTGAGGTTCAAGCACAGCTTGTGGGAATAAAAACGAGACTGGTGCCTTCAATGGATTGTGGTCCAGGCTGCAAAAATCATTACCCATAATTTGACTTTGCTGCATGACTGAGTGGTGTGGAAGTTGCTTGCAGCCACATTTTGCCGTGTCGGTACAAAGAACATGGAGGATGCCAGTATCCTCCATTCATCATTTCTAGCGTAGAGTCCCAGTTTAGTTAAGGATCCAGCGTGCTTGCCGCTATACGTGGATGGTTTAAGGGATGTTGTTACAGCCTGTATGGTTGTCCAGAAGGGCAGCAGCAACATGAAGAAATGGTTTTGTTGACTTAGGGTTATAGAGCAGGTGGTATGAATACAGCCAATTTTGAGTTGTGCATCAAACTTCAGCTTATGTTAATTTAGGTTCCTAACTTCGGTCCTTAAAGGAATAAGAGGAACAGCATCTATGAGAGCTTAATGCTGATAGAAAAAGAGAGTATTTTTCTGGAGGAAAGGCCTGTGGCCTGCTATGATACCTGAGGTATCTGAAGAGAGCCCGGTGTGAAACCCCATTGTTATAAGTGGTGGAACCAGCAATGTAACTTAGAGGGCCCTGGCTCCTAACATTTTTCTCAAGCCACTAGACAATTTGCTGTTTGTCCTGTGGGGTAGACATGGCAAGCCCTGTTTCTAGGATCATAAAAATGCTGGGGGAAAAAAAAAAAGTATGAAGATGTTTATCTAAATATTAAATATTAAGTATGCTACACACTGATTAAATATTAAGTATACTACAATAGCTCCTCATGATGTCTCTGATTACTGATAAATCTTTAAAGGGAGGTGGGTGGGAAGGAAGTAAACACAGCATAACACGTGGAGGGCTTTGCAAAGCAGGAGATACACTAATGTGTCTGCAATAACCCTTTTCAAAGAGACAGGGCTGAGAAATCTTGCGCTTCTTGCTTTTAAAGGCTCTCAGTGCCTGCAGTGCATGTAACCAGTCCCTCCCCTCAGGGCTTTTAAATGCTAGATGGAGCTAGGACTGAGGGTGAGAAACCAGTGATATGTGCATTTGGTACAGAAAATGTGGCTTAAAAAAGAAGAGAATGAACTTTCTTTGATAGAAAGGAGTGTTATGGGGTGGGGCATTATAACTTTAAAAAAATCTTTGATTTATTTGACTAACATTCTTTACTCTGAGCTGTACCTGGGTTGGAGAGCAGACACCAAACTCTGTTCTCATTTAGGCTGGTGTAAGCATGCAGGCTAGGGAACGGAGATGCCTTGTACTAAATTATACAGACTGGGTGACTGAATGCCCGCAACGCTGAAGTCAAGAAACTCTGGTGATGGGCTAAGCCACAGGATGAAATTTCATCCCTGGGCATATTTAGTTCCACACCTGCAGTCTGCCAGGAGAGTTAGACTGCTGGTAACTCTGTTGTCAGACTGAGTTAGGATATTCTCTTGTGAAGGGAATCTGCAACCCTGGCACTGTATCCCCATGATCACAGCTGCTGATGATCCTTTGGGTTAGGACAGCAGATTTCAAATGGAGACCTCTAAGCTTTTTTATTGACAGTTCTCCTTTCTAACACTGCCTGGTGGGAAAGCGTACATGAAACGTTTCAGGATGTTCAAGTTCTCAGTCAGCCTTCTATATGCTGTTCTTTATAAAATATGCTACACTGCTGTTTGGTCAAACCTTTCTGCACCTCAGATAGTCACAGAAGTATAACACATTGTAGGAAAACTATAAGGTGATTAAATCAGTATTTGTAAAGAGCTCTGAAATGTCTGGGTGAAAGGTGGCATAGGTCAGAGAAGAAGTTTTAGCCTTGTCATTTTATAGTCTGACCTAATTACTCTGGATCTGGTTGAGTATTACAAAATTTACTCCTTTGCTCAAGCTTCTCAGAAAGGCCTTGAGGGGTGCCTATCTTAACTTTTCACTTGGCTTTGCCGGCTGTTGGTACATTAAACAACCTAGCACTCTCTGGGTGCATAAAGATATACAGTCACAGAAAGCCAACATGATCTCTTTATGCCCTGGACTATTTTCATCTATGTTTACCCCAATGAGAATGCAAAGGATTTCGGGGCTCCTTGATGAAGAGCAGGATTAAGATGCACTTGAGCAAGATTACAAGAAAAAGGTTGTTGTTCTGTTAGAGAAAGAAATAATCCCTTTGTTTATATTGTAGAGATTAAAGCAGTAGCAGCAGAAAACACCCAGAGGTCACCACACACATACTTTGCTGTCTCAGTTATTGTCTATGGTTTAACTGTGGGATTCAGCAGTGCAATCACATAATTTAATCAGTTCTTCTTGTGCTGGGAGTCCTGAAGCTGCTCTCTGTATGAGGTAGTGAAGTGGGTCTGCTTGCTCTAGGGACAGAGAGGTGTGCTTGATTTTGAGCAAAAGGTCTGTGATGTGTATGAAGTGTTTCCAAAGAGTAATAGTAACTTTAAAGTAATGGCCTTTCCTAGTTATTGAAACTGCATGTGGTTCTTGGATACCTGTGAGGAATTCAGTCTTCTGCAAGGTTTTTGTTTCCTTGTCTGCTTCCAAAGGTATGATGTGTATGTCCCTCAGCAGTAATTACCTTTAATAAGCTTGTGTTCAACTGAAAAACAATTGTCTTAACTGAAAAGGACAACCCAAACATCGCATTGTCTGAGACCTCAGAAGGAAAAATTCCTTTAAAGCAGTTAGATTATGCCCAGTGGTCCACTTGCAGAATGTGCATACCAAGTGTACCCCTTAGTGAAGTATCATCTATGTTCCTCTGATATTCATGAGTCAACACCTGTATTTCCCTCTGGTGCCACATCCTCCGATACAAAGGCTCAAGGGTAGAAGTTTCTAGCTGAAATTTCCTGCTCTGAGTTATTTCAATAGCATTTCCTAGCCTAGCTTTACAAGTGCAAGATTTTTCTAGATAGACTGCTGAAATAAATAGCAGTTGCACCACGTATAATCGGGGAGCAAGGCTAGCACCTGAAGAGCAAAGCATTTCAACATACTAGACTTCACATCTCTTGCGCCCTGATAGTTAGCCAGCCGGCCTGATTTTTCAACTAGCTCAGCACCTTTGTGTCCAGTGAGGAAGTCATTGGAACAGGTTCACTTGAGCAAAGTCCGCCATATGCCAAGCAAGTGGCAGTCCAAACAAATAATCATGCTTTCTGCTTCCATTCTTCCCTGTGC